AGGGATTTGGAATTTCCCAGTGTGATCCCACTGACACAAGGGGACGAAGGAGATAAAGATATTAGAGCCAAGTTTTCGGCACAAGCCTTCTCTCAAGTACTGATTCAAAATACAGCTTTAAGTGTCAAGCTGTGAAACACCAAGTATATCCATGTCTCAAACTTAGTTATTTGGAGGACAAGACAAATACTACCAGTTAAAAAGCTCTCTATTGGTTTTCACCCTTACTCAGGTTTGCTGAAAGGGTCTAGGATTTAATATTGTTTATGGCAACAATTGCACATTACCAGGAAGGGAGTGTTTTGGCCAGATCCCCTCATGGAGTCAGAATTTACATGAGGGTTATAAGGCTCATTGGGGCTAATCCCTGCTAGCATTATACATCATCTGACAGTTGCCAAGGAGACAAGGATAATCTGAGTGAAACAAGATATGTGAGAAGGGTATTTATGGACATTTGCCTAACGATGCTGGTGGAATGCACCAAGAAGTGATTATTTGAGTGCCTTTGAAGTACTACCTCTTCTGTGATGAATATGGAGGATTGGTACACATGCAAAAAATATCCCTGTGAAATTAAGGCAGCAGCAGCTTGGCCTTGGTTTTTCCTTTTATCCTGTGGTGGCCTCATCCAGTGCTGTGGGTGATGCACTAAGATTTTAGCCTTTGTTTTTCAAATCCTGTACTGCCTTAGTTCATAACTAAATCCCATATGAAGTGTTAACTACTGTCTTCACATTTTGGTCAGACAAAACAATTCCTCTAGGCCTAAAACTCAAGGATACCCTACAGCCTCAGGCCCTGAAAAGTATAAACAGAAGTGAATTGGGGGGGAGCAAACTGGGGGTAAATGACTTCATTACCTGAAGCTATAATTGGAGGATTAACCCCTGATATGCAAACAGACCAAACTTATTTCTGTCTGAAAAGCTCCTCCATCTTGAGTATAGCCTCTGGGAGGCTTTTGACTACTCCAGGTGTATCTGTTGAAGGCCTTTAATAACTACTTATTCTCTTCATCTTGTCCAGTTTCTGTTTGAGGCAGCCACTCCAAAGCATCATGGGGAGGGGCAGACAAGGCTTTTACAGTGCTGTGAGTTCCCTGTCCAGCCACCTGCACTCTGTAGCATCAACAGAGCATACACAAGGATAAACAGTATAAAGAGGCCATTTCAGTCTGACAGAGGCTTAATGAAAACTGCCAACTCCACATGCTTGAAGTATTCACAGGTGCCTCATGCAAAGGTCTCAGATGCCAAGTGATGTGAGGGGAGGGAAGAGTAGAGATGGTGGTGTACAGGTACTCACAGGCATGGAGGTGTGTGTGCTTTGTCAATGGCTTTACAGCCAGCCTGCTCATTGCTCCACGCTGCAGGGTGAGCCCAGCTGCACCACAGACACCTGGCTCTGGGTGCTTGTGTCACATCCACTGAGCTGTGGGCAGGGTTAGCACCACGGCCCTACTTGGTATGTGGGTCTAGACAGGCGTTTTGGTAAATTCTGCCACTTTCCCTGACCTGGGGTGGCTTATAGCTCTGCTTAGGGAGATTAAAAGAAGCCAGAGAATTAATATCTTCATTTGAACAAGTTCATGCTTGGAAAGGCTTCTGCACTGTTGGTTTCACACAGCAAAATGTTTTCTTGGCAGGGTGTTCCCTGGCTGTAAACAGGGTCAGAGATTGTTGGAGGAGGCCCATGTCTGCGACCAGGAGTATTAAAGGTGTGTGATCTGGAGCAGTCCCACACTGGACAAACCTTCCCTTCCTGTGCTGAAGTCAGGCAGTGATGTGAAATGAGGGAGAAAGATGCCTGTCTCCTTCCCTCTCCCCCAGTTTGACCTTCTTAGTCTCTGATAGTGTCTCTTGATGGAGGATTAAGAAGGATGGGAAGACAGACGGAATTTCCCAAGTTTTCAATGTCTGATGCAAATAACTCCTTTGAAAGGAGGGAGATGCTGAGAGCCAGCCTGCAGCTGATGGGCTGTCTCGTGATGCCAGAGTTAATCTGGGTAAGCAGAGATTAACTGAGCTGCTGGATTGGATAATGTCTGAAATGGTTCATTGCAGCTTCTGCTGAGAAAGCAGCCCAAGCCTACGAGACCCCTCCTTGTGTGCAGCTCTGCAGGGTGAGAGCCTGTGCCCATGGCAGCAGTGCCTCAGGAACAGGAAGGCCCCAGGAAGAGGTGGCATTAATGAAATCATCAATTTCATAAGCATTTGGCTGGACCCCTTAATGCTTCACTAAGAGTCTGATCCCTTGTGCTAAGGTGGAGAGGGAAATAAAGGCTAAGCGGCACAACATTTAGGGAGAATTTGTGCACGAAGTGAAGTACAACATCCAGTAAAGCCTAGGGAAATAAATCTCTCTGGAATAGAGGCAAACCTACAGGAACAATTTGAGTTGGCAAATCCCTGTGCAACTTCATAGCCGATCAATATATGTTATTTAGACAAACATCACACTGTTACATTCTACCAATGATCTCTTATGAACAAACATGGTCATTCCAGGCTTTCCCATCTGGCTTCTAGACATAAATCTGTTGAAAAGTACAACTCCCACAAAATCTGAGTCTATTCAAGCATTTTGAATAATTCCCTGTTTACATTTGTTTTCACCCTTTCATTACTTTATGTCCATGTAGAGTTAAAATGCAAGTCAGTTCCAAAGCCTTTGAGATCACTCATTCCTTGTGAGTATTCTGTCAGGTTTCTCTGCCTCATTCTTTAGTATTCATAAATAGCAAGAAGACATGACCTGATGTTAGTTAAACTCTTGCCTGCATAAAAGGGAAACCTCAGACTCAACTCTGCCTAGCTCTTCTTGTATCAGTGCAAAAATTGGCCAGCCATTCCTGACTGGAGTCTACTTGGCCACCTCCCAAAAGTTTCCTTTGATGGAGACCTTGTAGAGTCTCTGGGCCATCTCCTCTACTCAGCCAAACTTACAGCTGTTTGGGTTTTTTTAATATCAGTCTAATTCTTGTCCTGCAATTCATACACACTGCAGTTTATGTAAGAGACGTGAAGAATAAAGCTTATACCCAGTCAAGGAGTAATGTCTGAGCACTAGCTTTACCCAGTGATGTTGTCAGTGTGAGACATTGAGCACTAAATTCCTATTCCACACCTTAAAAACAAACAAAAAGCCCCACCCTAGTTCATCTCCATTCTATAAGATCAAGAGAAAAGCTCAAACTCTTGTGTAATCTGCCTGAGTGGAGAGATTTTTCATTCACTAGGGTTTTGTTTATTGTTTTACACTGACAATTACTGCCTAGTCAGTGTCTCAGTTTCCTGGTGTTCTAATAAAATCTATGCCAATCACTTGCTAACCAAGTAAACAAACAATGGAGAACTCTTTAGATACTTCTCCAAAAGGTGCCCTTCTTTTGAAATTTGTGGGTGTTTTTGTCCTGAAACACTTCACCTGCAAAAGCAATTGGGTCTATGGATCTCTTCCATAAATACAGACCCTTCTCTCCAGCAAGTCTTGAGGTTTGTACCTGTCTAATAGTCCTGGTGTGAGTGACAAATCTGCTGGTCTACACTTGAATTGTAGAATTCTGTTCTCCTGGATCTGGGCTTGTTGACAACCAAGTACAATGGTGCTTTGTTCAACAAGTAACCAGGAACAGCTCAGGCTAAATAGTTGCCAAATGGAACAGCTTTTTAAGAGCACCCCTGTCACTACAAAACTGTGCCAAGTCTGGAAGTGGATTCAGGAACAGACTTTAAAGGATGTAGAGAACAAAGCAGTCACAAGGTTACATTTCATTATCTTGGTGCACTGAAGTGCAAAGGAAGTGAAGAATTCCATTTAAAGGCAAATCCAATGAGCAGGATGCTTTAGCTACCCAAACATCTGCAGGTCTTGTAATGAGCTTTCAAACAAACTGTTCTGTGAAAGCTCTACATCTATGACACATCTGCATGACTGTACTAATCTTGGTAGAGTCACAACCCAGCTGAAACTATGCAAGCAGTCCTTCCTTTCAAAAATGTTCCTTCCATGCTTCAACATCAGAACCTTCCAGGGAAGAATAGTTAGGAGAGGGCAAGAACAGTTAATGGAATTCTTCCCAACACTTCTGACCTCAGCAGTCCCCTCTCAAACACTGTCAGGGATCCCATCTATGATGGAAATCTGTTGCAGGTCTTGGAATCTACAGAACTGAGCCTCTGCAGAAGGATAACTACCGAGATTGTGAGGCCAGCCTGTATCTCCTCCAAATTAAATGCTTTCTTGGGCTGCTTAGGAGCAGCCTTTTACTCCAGTTGCTCTGACATGTAGGTCCCTTGACTTATGTCCTCATCTGTCAGCTGTTTCCTGTTGTACCCTTGCATCTGGATACAGTTGTTTCCCTATCTGAGGTGGCATTTCCCATCCCTGGGTAGTGTTGCCAAGCACAAGCCAGCTTTGTATTGCATTTTGGCAACCAGAAATCAACAAGAGTGTCTTGCTGATCCTGAATCTCTGCTCAAAATAAAGTAGGTTCTGCTAAATGCCATTCTAAACAAAATGTTAGTTAAGCTTTAGGCTGTTTTGCAAGAGGCCTCTGATTTCATGGGTAATCAGAACACCCAATACAGCTGGCAAAACCCCCTCAGTGTAGAAGAGACTTCCCTCTTGAGCTATTGTCTACTAAATTGCATTTAGAAAAAGCAAGCCTGCTTGAAAAAGGAAGGAAATTGAAGACTTTCATTATAAGGTGTGCAAACCTTATAACCCAGAATGGATCTTTAAAGATCAAATGCTTTTAATTGGTTTTTTCTTACATAGCTGTTTGCAAAGCTTTCAATCATGTTTGTCCCTGGTTCTAGCTAGTAATGCAGTGGCTGGATACAAACACCTTCTGTGTCCTACTTTCTAGAATCTCCTGGAGGAAGTGTTTACAGCAAGTGTGAATAAGCAGAAATATTTTGAAAAAATTTCTTCTGTCCATGTGTTCCTACCTCTGAGCTACTGCATAATAAAACAATTTCAATAAACAACCTGGATGTAAACAGAATAGCCACTCGAAATTTTTAGTACAGTGCAAGAGGGAAGGAAAGGACTCATTCAGAATTTTATCTTCTTACTCCAGGACAAGTTCAGCTTCAGTTTTACGTTGGATTCTGGCCTTCAGACGTTCACAGATTAGTGGTGCTGCTGATATCTCAAGACAGAAGCCTTGCATGAACTTTTGAAATCTCTTCTAGGACCACTTGCTGGAGGAAAAAGATGGGCTATGAGCTGGGCTTAGCTGAAGTGCAGGGAAGAAGCGTGTATGGCTCACTAGCAGGGACTTTACACCTATGTGTATTTGTCCAATAGAGTGCTCTGGACACGCGTTCCTGCAGATGTGCTTCCCAGTGAAAGGGGGTGGTGGTGAGATAGGAGCTGTGGCCCTGTGATGTCTCCCAGGGCAGCCTTTGCTGCTCCATCCAGACACCTCAAGCCCCTGAGGGTGGGAGATGAGCTGTGCACAGCCTGGAGGCTCAGTGGCTTGGGCAGACAATCATTTCTCTGATGTCCAGAGCTGGACTCCCAGGAGATGCTCTGTGCCAAGCCCTGGCAGGGTCACCCTGCGTGGGCTCCTGATCTGCTTGCAAGGGGCTCCTTCCACCCAGGATATAAAATGTTTACCTGTCCCCCAGCAGGTTAGGGAGCTCATTGTGGATGGTACAAACAGGCTGCCTCGGGCTGGTACAGCTCCAGCACGATTTTGGAGGGGAAACTGCCGTGAGCAGAGGAGGAGAGGTGGGGAGGGGCCCGCGGGGGATGCAGAGGCGACGCGGGAACATGTCCTGGCAGCGAGCCGAACCCACGGGGGTGGCAGACGGGCCGCGGCCACCGCCCGCCCGCCTCGGACGTCACAAGTGCGTCTCCCTGCGTGTCCCTGGCTGTCGTGGCATTACAGGCAGAGAAATCACACTCGGTTGCCACGGTAACATCACCAGCTGGGACATGCCGTGCTGTCATCCAGCAACCAGCGAGGGGTCCCCGGGGATAGAGGGGATGCGCCACTGCCCCAGAGGAGCATGAGGGTCTCACCCAGCCCATGGGACCCAGGGATGCCATCCTTTTGCCCAGGAGCAGCAATGTGTGTAGTTCCAGTGCCTTAACAGTAACTTTTTCTTTTTTTTTTTTTTTTTTTAATAGTAGTTTAATCCTTTTCCTAGGGAGGGCTTTGCTATTCATTAGCCCCTGTTCTATTCCATGCACAGCTTTAACAGAAGCATGAAATGTTAAGGGATTGGAATGGACCTTACAGATCACCGAGTCCCAACTCCCCCTGCCACAGGCAGGGAATCCTCCCACTAGATCAGGCCCCGTCCAACCTGGTTTTGAACACTGCCACAACCTCCCTGGGCAACCTGCTCCAGTGTCTCAGCACCCTCACATGAGAGAATTTCTTTCTAACACTTAACCTAAATTTCCCTTCTTTTAATTTGTCCCCATTCCCCCTTGTGCTATCACAACAGCCCATCCTCTTTCTGCTCATTCCCTAAGTGCTCATCAGCACTTAAAACCAAAGGACTCAAGGGTAAAAAATCTTACATGAAATGAGTGTGTGCAAAATCCTTGAGCAAATTCTGTAGGGGTGCTCCGCATTTCCTGTATTTATTCCTTGATGTCTGGATGGCCCTGTTCCTGTTGGGTCCACAAGTTCTGCGTGTCCTAAAACAGGGTTAATGGGTGCTGCAGGCTTGGACTGACTCTCAGCAGAAGGCTGAGCCTTTCTCCTTGTTCTCCCAGAGGGATGGTGGGTAAGTGCCACTCAGCAGTGACCTCAAGGTGTTTCTCCATTACCTTCTAGGGCACTGAATCATTTCACTGAAGGACTCTGCAGGCGAGAACACACAGCTGCAGTCACGTCCTGTATTTACAGCTTTAGCATGGAAAGCCTCAGCACTCCAGGCCTGATGTGGCATGAAGCTGAATTATTAACAAGTGCTCTCTGCTAGAGGAGAAGCAACTGGAGAGAAGGAGCCTTTCTCATTAGTATTCCCTGGGTGATCAGGGATCTGGCTATGTGGCGTGAGGATCTGCTGATGCTCCAGAGGGGTGGGGAGCTGGGGAAGGAGGTTACTGGGAGGTTTGCTGGAATCAGTGTTTGGCTCTGTCTGATGCTGGTGTCTGTTTCCTCTCACCACAGCATGTGTGACACAAGTGAGCCTTATGCCAGGCACAAAACAGTGCTCAAGGGCTGTCTGCCTTCCCCCAAGGAATGAGCAGCCCCACCAAAGCTGCCATGACAAGCAGGTACATCAGTTCCTTCAACAGGAAGCAGGGCTGCCTTTTCTCCTGCAATTTCCCCTTCCACTGAATTTAGACTGCTCAGTGGTGATGCAGGTGAAGATTTTGCAGGACTCTGTGCTTGAGGAGTTCAGTATAGAGTTCTTTATAATAAGCTGCTCACTGAAAAGATCCAGTAAACACTTTGAAGAGCAAAGCCTGGAGAGTTTTTATGAAAAAGAATTCAGTGTAGTGGCTGATCTGCACCTTGAAAAGTAGGGATAGTCAAAGCAACTCTTCTTTAGCCCTGGTTCACTCAGTATCTTTGTCTGGTTAAAAATAAACCCCTTGAAACAGGATTTAAATTCAGCCTGACTTGCCTCTGTGCTAAGGATGGAGCTCCCAATAGACCTCGCTGGGCTATTGGAGACAACTTAATAAACAAGAAACTTAAGGAGGCTTGCATTAAGCACCTGTATAGATAAAATAAGGAATTAAAGACATAATTCATCGTGTAATTGCTACAAATCTCTGTCATGGTAAAAGCAGTGCATCTTGCCCAGCACACTTCTTCCAGTAGCTTTCTTTTTCAGTGAATAATCTGAATTTCTTAAAACCGACATTGTTGCTATGCTGATAGACCCAGCAACCAACCATTCAGAAAAATCTCTTCAAGTAAATAACTGACAACAGACCTGCCTCCTTCATGTGCTCGTGACTATAAAAGGATGTATTTAAAATACAAGTTATTTGGAAAGGAGAATACACTATGGTCCCTTGTTCTTAAGTAAAAACCTGTTTCTTTCAAAGCAAAGCCAGGCAGTGCCTGCCAGCTCTCTAAAATGCTGCATGTCAGAGCATGAAGTGTAAAACTTCAACTGAAATATTACTGAAAGAAGGGTTTTGTGGTTAGTAAATAATACCTCCTTTGGAGAATTGTGGGCTGGCTGCTCCTGTTCTTGCTGTAGCAGAGGGATTGACTGAAACACCTCATTCTTTGTAGCAGCGTGCTGGCTCTAGATGCTGAGTGAATCTAAGGAGTTGGTGATTGAGGGCCCCTCTGAGGGATGCCACAGCAGCCCAATGCTCCTCTTTAAACACAAGGAGCTGTTTCAGCAGTGCAAGATGACACTCTTCCACTGCCCCGGGAAACAGATTTGCATTGCAAAAACTACCTGAGCCTGACATTGTGAAATCGCTCCCCTGGGCTCCATGTACCATAAAAGAAGCCCAGCTGAACTGGGAAGGATGAGCCTTGCCCAAGCTACACGCAGCAAACAGCTCCAGGAGCCAGAGCTGGGGAGCAGGAAATGTGTGGGAAAGCCATCTGGTGAAGGCACTCTGAAACAGCGTGGAAGTCTTTTTTCATTCACTTCCTGACAAAGTAGTAATATGTTGTCTCATTATAGGAAGATGACTGCTTGTTATTATTATTTGTATTAGTAACTCCTAGAAGCCCAAAGGTGGGGACAAGACTCTTGCTGTGTTACCTGCTGTGGGCACACGTAAGAGGAGACCTTTCCCTATATACACTCCCCCATAAAAAAACAGAAAGCATAGGATTGTGATTTTTGTGGGTTTTTTTTCTTTTTTCTTTTTCTTTTTTTATCCTAGTGGGGAATTGAAACAGATGGGAGAGACTGAAGGAGCTGGAACAGAACATGTAATAATTCCCAAGCCTCGACTTTCTCAGCAGAACTGTTCTTTGACTCCTATACTTTAGCTCTGAGCAGTTCTGGTGAGTGCTTTGTACCCTGGCACACTGCTCATGAGGAGCTCTACAGTTCTCCTTGGTAAACTCGGTATTTAGCTTGGTGTGGACACACTGCTGAGAGCTCCTGCACCCTTTGCTATGCTGATGCAGGGGGAGGGAAATCAAAGCAATGTGCAGAAGGGATTTTAATCATCACGTAGCAAATTAAAAAATACTGTGGAGGTCTTAAACTTGCTCTTTGGCATTTCAATCACGTCTTTCACTACGTTCTCCCAGTCCAGCCAACCAAATTTTCTCCATGGTTTAATGCTGTTCTAACCTCAGGCAGTATCTTTGTTCTGCTAAAAGGAGAGAACCAAAGGCTGTATTTCAAGAGGAGGGAAAGTTCCTTATAGCCTACTTACTATTATTAGATATTTAAAATTCTCCTATATCACCACCTCATTGGAAGACCTCAAACCATTTTAAGGACCTTATTTTAGCCTCTTGGTGACAGAGGCAAGAGGCTAATTTTTAGATACTGGAACAGACTTAAAATTCCTATCCTTGAGTTTTCCTTATCAGTCTTTGCTAGAACTGACCATGGATTTTTTCAGTCCCAGTCATTAATTGCAAGACAGAGCTTTCCAGGTCCCCTTGCTGTCCTTGTGTGGGTGTGTGTGCTTGGCTGGTTGACATTTGTGCCAAAGATGCTTTAGACATTCAGAGCCTCAAGTCTGTATGTGTTGGCTTTTCATCTCTGGGGAAGGCAGGGTTAAAAAAATGTCCTAAAGACTAATTAGTTGCTGAAAGTATGGCAGCAGCAGGAAGGAGGAGGGGCAGGAGGAAGGAGATGGTGGCTGTTGGCCTGCTTTGAGGTAAAAGAGGCTGAAGCCCAGGGAATCCAGAAGAAACAAGCAGGACCATGTGGGCTGGCAGCTCCTGAGGCTGACTGTCATTTGGCACGCAGAGCCTAGTGCCAAGGGGATACCTTCTCCAGGAGAGAAATTATCAAGTGTTGTTAAATGGGGCCATGAGGTGTTAATTGCTAAAATCTGTAGAAATTCAAATTGAAGGAGCCAGTATCTACTGGTGTAGAATGACTCTACCAGAGAGAAGCCTGTCCTTGTGTCCTGTCAGTGAAGCAGGATATAGAGTGTTGGATGGGGCAGACTTGAGGCTCTGAATAAGACTTTCATCACTTTATCCCAGACTTCTCATAACCCTCTGCTCCCAAACAACCCATGGTGACATAAATGCAGAACCAGGAACACAGGGAGGACACCAGCAACACCTGAAAGGTCACAAAAGCTGTAACAGCACCTCTTTGTAGGACTTTTCCTCTCCCAGTGCTCAGCTCATGATCCCAGGTCAAACTTCAGCCTATGGCAGTATGGCTGTGGGCAAGCACATCCACACAGCTCTTATTTGTCCTTTTTATTAATTGGAAGCCCAAGTGGTAACAGGAGCCAGAACTACATGGGTGCAGGGTTTAGACAGTGCCACTGCCTCGGGAATTACATGTGTAACCTCTTCAGAATAAGAGACCAGACACATGAGACTGCAAATACACTATGGAGCAGAACATATGGAACATTAACTGCCAGGAATCAAGTGCTAATATAATGCTGGGATTTAAAAAAGCCTCAGCTAAAGCCCTGAAAATGACAATAGATTGTTCCCCACTCTCTTTCAGTTTGTTCAGGTTTTCCTGACTGTGGGAAGACTGTTTACACCCTTGCTATACCCATTGCTGTATTTGACTTACTGGCAAGTTTTGGCCAGATGACAAAGTCAATAAGCACTGAATTGTGCCTTGGTAAACATCAGCTCTGTCTCTATCAGAGCTTATCTGCATTGGAGAAAAACTGTCCTCCAGGCTGGGAGCAGGGCTGGGCTGGAATGGGAAGGGCAGCACCAATACTCAGCATTTTTGAGTGTGGCAGTTCTGAAGTGGGCCAATGAAGCCATTTCTGGAACTAATAGGGAGTTAATGGAAAATCCATGCTTGGACACCACATGATGGTTGACTTCACTTGGTGGTTCGTTCTTACAGTTTATGCTTATGCTGGGACCATAATAAACCTTACATTCCCCAGGCAGTGAGAGAAATCATACATACACAGAAAATTACTGAGTCACCAGATCTGATGGGAGCCAAGTTCCTAGACCTGGATAAGAAACCTGACACAATACAGGGCTTGTGCAATATTGGATGGAAACTCTCATCCATGGTCTGTATGGAATATGCTCTGTCCAGAGAAAAGGTGAAAGATCTGTCGCTCACTTGGGACACATTGCTTTAAAAACATGGATAAACTTAGCAACATTCCTTAGCTAAGGAAGATGAAGTATTTTTTGTTTGTTGGGTTTTTTTTAAAGCCAGTTAACCAAATTGGACTAAGTGACTTTTTTTAATCCTTGACAAGAAAATCTGCAGTGGAATGAGGAATGATTTCCTCAAGTGTCAGTACATTAATACCCAAGACTTGCTCTTCTCACCTCCAGAAGCACAGGACAGCTGCATACACAGCTTGAGTGAAGACCTGTACATTTGGCCCTCTTCAGAGTCCTCTGATCCTAGTGTTGTGGTTGAGGTGTCCACCCTCCCAGAGGCAAAATCCCCGTGTCAGCCCCAGAGACTCAGCTCTGACAGAATCTAGTCTGAGAGGTGTTCTTACAGTGTGAGATGGGCCTCTTCAGCATGAATCTGTGTGTGTGTGTGTTTTTGTTCTATGCTATTTTGGGAATAAGCAACTGATAACAAGTAAATGCTTTCGTCTGCTGGAGTAACTGTGTTCTCAAGCATTAAAATTATGGTTTCTACTAACTGTCCAGTGGGGAGGAAAAAAATCAAGGTTCTTAATTCCAGAAGACAGGTTAGCTTCTGGGGGAAGGAGACAGAAACTGTTAAGTCTTTTGCTGTCAGAAAGAAACTCACGCTGCAAGTATTCAGTCAATTAGGCTGATTTGTAGCAGCCTCACTATAAATCCTCTTTCATTCAGAGGCAAGTTAAGCTCTTTGATGAAACATGGCATTCCAAGGAATTTCAGTAGGTTCTCACACATATAACCATGGCAAAGTTATCTGTAGTGACACACCATCTGAGAATGCCATGGTATGTTCAATTCTACAACATTACAGCTAATGTATCTCAGAAAAGGGAGGCCTGCAAAAAGCCCTTCACCCCACTGTTTCAGATTAGCCTTCTTCTTGCATGCTACATTTGTTCAGCCTATTAGTAAATTAGAAACAGATTTGCTAAATCAGTTCTAGATACAAAAACAGTTGAGACAGACGACTGTGCAGTAAATGACCACTCAACCCAGAAACACAACTGTTTTGACAAAGAAATGCATCACTCCTGAGAAGCGTAAGATCAATTTAAAGGCAGTATGTCTTATCGGGGCACCTGTGTAACATGACCAGAGGCAGAACTGTTTGTTTCCCTACAAGTGGGAACTTTCTCTTTTGCCCCAGAGGGCGATGACAGCAGAGCTGTGACCCTGTCCCGTGCCCAGCTGTGCCACCCAGCTGACTCACCCTGCTGAGCTGGTCCAGGAGTCTTTGGTTCTGCTCGGAGAGTTCCTGGACAGCGCGCGTCTTCTCCCGGTCGGCTTCGCGCAGGTGGACCTGCTGCTTCTCCAGCTCGTCCTGCAGCTGCTTCACGTCGCTCTCCAGTTCAGACACCCTTCCTTCCCACTCTCCCTCCTTGTTCTCAAATCGCCGCCGCAATTCGTGTTTCTCTTGTTCCAGGTGCTAAATGATGGGAGGGGAAGAAGTTAGGAAGAGAGGGAAAAAAGGTGAATGTCTCCTTTTCCTCATCTCTGCTAGGCTAAAACCTTGTGCAGGAAAGAGAAGGGTGCTTGAGTGTGACAATGCCACAGAGATGGCAATTCCACATCAAGGCAGGTCACTGGCACCACAGCCATTTTCCATTTCTAACAACTGGCCTGTCCTTGGCCACTGGAGTTCAGAACATTGAATTTTTACTGAAATAATTGCCAAAAGAGTAAAGTAGGCTGCATGTCAATAGGCAGAATATATAGGTCAGACAGAGCAATTGATTTAGCAGAGCCCAGCTTAACTCCAAAGCAATACTTCAGTGGTCAGTGGCATAATTCTTTTAAAATTGCTTTTATAGTCAAAATACACAAACTGTATACCCTTACTGTTGATGAGGAATGTAGATGAGGCATCCTTGTTGTCATATGGGTCTCATGAACAACAGTTGAATCATCTATCCATTTGTTCTCTCTATTCCTGACCTAATTAGTTGTCTGAGAGTTTGATAGTGCACAGTAACTCCATTGTTTGATGCAGTCCGCTCTGGAATGGCAATGGATGCAATGAACTGGTTGCTATAGACATTATGTATGTGCATGTTCTGGGTTCAGGTTTCTTAGAAACCACTCTCAGCTCTGGAGATTCTGCTCTGCTTTGGATTGGCTGGAAAATGAGGGACAGCACAAATCTGGTGAAACTTTTGCATGTTTTAGAAGCTCAGTTAAATGAGGGCTTGACTCAAAAATCAGGTCAAAGCAGATTTATGTTGTGCCCATTTGAAAGAATCCTAAACTCTGAGCTTGAATTTCCCCTGGTGACTGGAGACACACATTTACTTTCAGAACAGTCACAGATTGGGGACATGGGCATGTCCCAGGATTAGCAGGGAAACCTAAAAAATGGGAGTCCTCTCCTTGTTGGTTGTCCTCTGATCTCCAGCATAATCTCCTGCGGCTCTCTGTCAGGTTCCCCAGGCTTTAAGAAATGTGTCTTAGAAAAGAACAGAAACACACTGGGCCAAACACTGGTAGCACTTGCCTATTTCTCCCAGGTGAATTGTTCCCTGGTGAACAATTCCCATGGCACTTCTGATAGGAGGGAAAAATAAACCTGCTAGGTGGAAAAGAAAATTGCACTGCATTTATGTGAAGTGGCTTTTTATTGCTTGTTAGAAACACAGGCTGTGAGGGGGCTGTTTCCCCTGGGTGCCTATTGCTGATGACACACAGCCTCCCTGGCAGGGTCCCTGTCACCTTCCCAAGCAGGTCTGAATGTCAATACCCTCCAGTTCCTCTCCAGCCCTCTGGCCTGTGTACTGCTAATCTTCCACCATTTTTTTTGCTCTGCCATGCAGATGCCATGTTCTCTCTTTCTTCACCTGGTCCCCAAATCCTCTCTTATGCTCACTCCAGCTCAGTGTAGAAGCACATTGCTTGTGCCCTTCCAAATCTTTCTGCAAATTCCAGACTTTCATGAAAAACCCTTAAATATGAGGGAAAGTTGATTAAAAACAGTGGCCCATAGCAGAGGATTTCCCCATGTTTCAGACACTAAAAGAGTGAACATCCTTGCAGATGAGAGCTAAGCAGTAATATAAATATTTTAATGCAGTAAGTAGGCCTGAGGTCCCAGCACCTGGCCTGTGACAACCATTGCAAAGAAATCCTGTTTGTAGTCCAAGTGTGGCTGAAGCAGCTACAATTTCACTTTCAGCAGCACACTGAAAATTCTGTCTTTTATAGCTCTGCCTCTTTCACTGCTAGGCAACGTTTAGAAAGATCCAGGGCCTTCTCTAAATGGAAAGTAGAACTTCAGCCTGCTGAGAAGCAGCACTGCAGCTGAAGTGCCCCAGACACCCAAATGTGATTTAGAAGCCACTGATAAGCCTTGTCAATCATTTAAAAAGCACTTTAGTCCTTCACTGCAAAAGGAAATCTCCGCTACACACAGCCCAAATAAATGGCCATCACAAAGACTGGTGCTAGAAAGAGCTGAAGAATATCAAGTTCATTCTGTTGTGACAGAGGAATCAGAACAGAGCAGTGGGGCATGGAGAGGCTGTTGCAAAGAGGAGAACCCAGGTGAGATGTGTTGACTGGTCCCTCCTGCTTCTGCCAGCAGCCATCTCCCCTGGCCTGCCCTCACCCCAGCACCTTCAGGGCTGCAGATCTATTTTCTGATAGGGAAAATTGCTGTCCTCAGTAGGGGAGTTTCTTGTTTCCTGAGTGTCTCTCCATTCACCACCTGCTCATTGATTTTTACACAGAACCTACAGCTTTCTAGAAGATGTTTTCCTCTGAAAACAGCTTCTCTTCAACTTAACTGAGCCGGACTAGACCCCATCTGAAGAGATGAAAGCAAGTGGGAGTTTCCCAGCTGATAAAGAGGGTTCATATTGTAAAATGCTAGGACACAGCAGGCTCCTCTGTGGCAGAGGAATAGCAGTATTAACTGCTTTAATCCCTTACAGGGGATAAAACTGTCTAGGATCACATATCAGAATTTATTACAGAACTTCAATTTCATGATTAGAAATAAATTTAAATTCAGGCTGTGAAGTGAAAGGTTTGCCAGAGTAGGTGTATGGCAGAAATGCTGTACCTCAGCAATGAACCCACAAAACTAGAACATATTTAATCTTGAGGCAAAGCCTCCAATGAGCAGACCAGTACCTTGGCTGTTGTGAAATGGAGAGGCTTCCCTGAGCTCTTGTAACCAATTCTGAACTGTGAACTGGGAGAAAATATCTCCTTCTCAGTGTTACTTAAACATCATTATATCAGGTTGTCACCAAGGATCTCATCTGAGACTTTGCTTCCTGTCACTGTCAGAAAGTTCTCAGCATAGGGAAGGAGGGAACAGCTGTGAGTCCTTCCTCTCTGCTCCTCTGAAATTGAAAAGCTTATTGTGAAATTTTATTCACTTCAGTGGCAACAGGAGGAGGCCAAGATTTAATCTGCAGAGACTGGGATTATCAAACTTGTGTTTTAGAAGATTAATGTTGAAATTTGATTTTTTTGTATGAAGCAGCACTGGGTTAAATTTGCCAAACCCAGTGGAAAAAAAAAATGACCCTTAAGTAGATAACACTAACCCCTCTCAAATGGGTAGCCTGGAAAATAGCAATGTGTTATTCCACTGGGAAGTTAGGGTGATAGTAATGGGATGAAAATATGTAAACAGTAGGTTGTGTTTACAATCTCTTCATTTACCTTCTGAATGGGCCTGTGAGAACAGAGATAAACATTTGTGTAATGTTATTTAAAGTACTATAAAGTCATAGTTTCTCTCCTCTCCTTTTCACCTCTACATTTTGCAAACAGTGAGTCGTATTTGAGGCTCCTGAACTCCCTAAGAGGCAGCTCAGTGGGTACCTAAAATTGAGCGGTTTTCCTTTAACAGTAGGAAAGGTTCTACTCCAACTCCTAAGCAAAACCATATCAGCACAACACCACATACTTGCTTGAAGATCAACGTGGAAATCCACTCTGGCAAATTTTAATACTCTGGGAAATTCTAATCTGATAAACAGAGACACTAAGCAACAATTTGAGCAAATATCACCTTCACTATTTTTCTATTAGAATAGCAAAGGCAGAGAGATTCCCCCGCAAAGAGGAAGGGATCAGCTGAGGTAAAATGACAAGTTTAATAAGAGAGAGGAATTTTTGTCAGGAGAACAAAGGGCATTCAGTAATTTCACAAATCCTCTTGAACTTGAGAAATGTTAAATCTGTTAGGAAGGAATACAGGACTGTGCAGAAAGGGCTGGTCTAGGGCTGTAACTTGAAATGTGAATGTTAATCCGGCATTGTTCAAACTCTCTCCAGAAAGGTGAGAGAGGCTTTTCTCAGCCTTCTAAGCAGTATTACTTATTGGAAGAAATAGAATTTCAAGGGTAGCTCTGAAGAAGAGTGAATAATAGTGCCTCTCTCACAATTGTGCAAGTGAGCTGTTCCAAAAAAAGCTGCCTGCACAAGTCTTTCTCCTTATAATACCTCTATTTTATCTTTAAAAATCAATAAATAGCTCAATCCCCCGAGTTCCTGGCAAACAGCTCTCTCCAGATACCTGTAGGCATTTTTCAGAGCAAACAGCTAACAGCGATGTATCATTAGGGCTTATCTCCTGCCCTGCCTAAAGCCTTAGCTGCAACAGCTTAAGCATAAGGGTCACATATGCTCTGTAGCTCAGTACCTGCTGTGCAAATTTAACTTCCGAGGTATTTCTGTGACGAGATGAGCCGCGCACATCTCTCCCAGGTGGTCCTGGGGCAGAAAAGCCGGTTCTGCAGCCCGGCCCCGGCCCCACACGCCGGCTCTGGGCCGGGGGGAGCGGGGCAGAACGGCAGCTTTGCCTCCCCTCGCAGGCCTCGCTCAGACCCTTTCTTCCCCGTCACGGCCACAGCGAGTCCCGTGGGCTGCCGGGCAGGGCCCGCGCCCGCCCCCGGCGCTCGCCGGGGAAGGGGCCGCGTTGCGCGGGGAGAACCCGGGGCCNGGCCACCGGCGCAGACGCTGCCACCGCCACCGGGCACGGGCGGAGCGGGGGAAACCGGCTCCTGCTGGCCCCGGCTGCAGCGGGCAGGTCTCGCCTCTTCTGCCGCAGGCCCAGACCAAAAATCCCCCCAGAACATCGGGGAAAGCCCAAGGAGGGAGTTTGGCACCCCCGAGGGGCACAGCGCGTTCTCCCCGCTCGCCGCCCGCTCCTCCAGAGCTCTAGTGGGGATCTTTTGGTTGCCAGAGCAGCTCTCGGGATCTTTGTGCTCAGTAGTTCACCCCGGAGAGCTGACTACAGCTTCCAACAGCCACCGGGGCTTGCTTTCAATTTCAGAGTGTTTGGGATGTTCTCGGGTAACGTTTGTCCTAAAGGTACCCCCAGTGAATGTTGGGAGTTGTAGTCAGTTCAGCTCCTAGCACTATTCCCCCTATTAGGGGCAGGACTGGTTGGGGTTTCAGTTTTGGTTTTGTTGATTTTCTTAGATCTCCTTAGATCCCAGTACAGAAGGGAGGCTGAGGCAGAATACAGCTGCATAAACCAGTATATTGTCCCATTTGCTAAGACCCTATTCCCTCAGTTTCTGATTATACTTTATTTTCAAACAAGGCTTTAATAGTGATTGCACAAAAAACAATTTAAAGAAAACTTGTGTTTTTGATTCCTAGATTCTGCAGAAAGGAATTATACGTTTCACAGCTTTTTCCTTTGTACACTGCTTTCTTGGGGCTTGTTTTCCCTTCCTTCACTTAGACCTTGTTCATCTGTAAGCAATAGCCCAACAAATCAGTCCAAGGATGTTTTTGGCTGGGACAGTTGGTGACTGATGCAGTTTTCAAGCAGGGCTGGTTCCTGCCTCTCCTCAGACCCAGGGCCCTGGAGAGATGCTGATTATTCGTAACAGTTAGAACTTGAATTGTGGGGATGCAAACTTCCCTCTGGCCATCTGCCACTGGGACTTTGTCTTTCGTGGGGATACATCCCAACAACCCAGCTGGGGGGACCTGTTGATGCTTGGCCTTTTTCCTGGCAGCATCAGTTAACAGCAATGCTGCTTTCTTTAATGTGTGCACCTACTCTCCAAGGACCAGGCAGAGACTGGTGCCTTGTGCTGCCAGCACCTGTCCCACCACGGTAACTGTTGGCCCTCATGGCCGTTGTGATTTCTTTTGCACTGGTGACCCAGAGGTGACACCTCCTTTATCTCACAGCAATTCCCCCAGGCACTGACTTTTCCAGTCCTTTTGTCCTTGCAGTTCCACTGACGCTTACATTGCTGGAAAGAAGGACTGACCATAAGGTGAGATGGTTTGGACAATATTGGCCCTTTTAAAAGAACCCCTGTCCCAAGAGGAGCTGTGATTGCACTGATTTGATCATCACTATTTAAACACAGGAGGGCGTTTAATATTTAAACTGATTGTGAGCACCTTCTGCTGGAAGTGCCTACTACAGCAGATCAAGCTTCCTGGTGTGATTAATGAAATCCATTGTGGCATTAATTTTCATCTCTAAT